AAAAAAAAATTAATTGACCAAAATGCAAGAGTTTGTGTTTGGATTCTCAATTCTGTCCCATCGATCTATATGCCTGTCCTTATCACCTGACTTTGAGCTAATTCTCCATCAGCATATATGGGTAATCTGTGAGACAACACTGGGGAATATAACAATTTCTTAATAATGAATTATGAAAATATCTAATAATTTTTCCCCAAATAATTCCAGTACAGTGTGGGGGATCTTTTTTTCTTTTACTTTTGTTGTTGTTCTTTCTTTCTCCTTGTCTTTCTTGCTGGCTAATGTCTTTTTTCCTTTTGTCTGCCTTCCTGTTGTTAATTTTTTTATTTAAGCTGCACGATAGGCAAATTTAATCCTTCCTGTTCCATTGTATCTTATTTACATGTTAACATTACTCTTGTTTACTCAGTATGTACTGGATACTGATTTCCTATTTGTCAGCGTATTTTAAGAAATATTCATCTCTGATTACTGAAAGGGAAAGCACTAAATTTACAGTTAAGCATGGAAATGAATGCTATGGGCAAGATTTTATAAATTTCATGTAGAAATAGTTTTTAAGAACATCAAAAATGAAACATAATCAATGATATGCATACATGAATTCTTCAGAAAGAAGACAGAACAGTTTTGGCCGATCTATTAAAATGGTATATGCCTAGTGGTGCTTAGAAGACAATGTAGAAATAAAGTGTTATTCTGTTGAATGTTGCTGAGTTTGAGATGAATCTCAGGGTTTAGAAAAAGACTTGGAGTTTTTTGTTAAAGGTCAGGAAGCAGGTGGCAAGGCATTCATCAATTTAGAGGAGATGTCAGAGGTTGTTCTTATTGAATCAGAGGAACCTAGAGACTAAAAAAGAAAGTTGGGGAGTGAGTTGGCATCACAGAAGCATTAACCATTCCTTTTATTTCCCCTTTAATTTCCAACCAGCAGGACATCCATAACTCAAGATTCCTCTGCACAGCACACCAGCATGCTAGAGAGATTCACATATCTATACATCTGAAGGTGGGAGGATTGGAGGCAGCAGAACTGGAGGAGCAGAGCTGCTGGTGGGTTCCAGGAGCAGGGGCAGTGCCCGTGACCCGTTTGGCACAGTGAATGGAGATGGGACGTGCACACAAATACAACTGACCCTTGAACAACACGTGTGAAGTGCGTAGATCCATTTACACGCAGAATTTTTTTTTTAAAGATTTATTTATTTATTTGACACAGAGAGAGAGAGAGCTCAAGCAGGGATAGTGGCAGGCAGAGGCAGAGGGAGAAGCAGGCTCCCCGCTGAGCAGGGAGCCTACAACGTGGGGCTCAATCCCAGGACCCCAGGATCATGCCCTGAGCCGAAGGCAGACACTTAACTGACTGAGCTACCCAGGTGCCCCATATATGCAGAATTTTTTTGATAAATACCATACAGCACTGTAAATTTATTTCCTTTTCCTTATGATTTTCTTTTTTTTTTTAAAGATTTTTATTTATTTATGTGACAGACAGAGACACAGAGAGAGCAGGAACACAAGCAGGCGGAGTGGGAGAGGGAGAAGCAGGCTTCCTGCTTTCCTGCCAAGCAAGGAGCTCCATGTGGGACTCGATCCCAGGACCCTGGGATCATGACCTGAGCTGAAGGCAGACGTTCAACGACTGAGCCACCCAGGCACCGCCCCACTTACGATTTTCTTAATAACATCTTTTCTCTAGCTTAATTTGTTATAAGAATACAGTATATCATACTTAAAATATACAAAATAACGTGTTTAATCGGCTGTTTATGTTATCGGTAAGTCTTCTGGCTAACAGTAGGCTATTAGTAGTTAAGTTCTGGGGGAGTCAAAAGTTTTAAGTGGATCTTTGAGTGGGGGTCACCACCCTTAACAGCCCTCCCCGCCATTGTTCAAAGATCTACCGTATAGCCCTGAGGCAGCGCAGGAAAGAGAAACCAAAACCTTGTGCTATAGCGCCACCTGCTGGAAAACAAAAGAAAGGCCTCTAATTCCCAACCTGTTGAACTGTTAAAATCAAAGTAAACAAAACTTTATATAAATGTTTGCTATTTCAAATGAGCTAGCAGAAGCACATCATATCACACACTATGAAAAATCACAGTAATATGGTATCACAAAAAGAAAATGGCGATCTCCAGCAACCAAATTCAAAGTCACAGAGATTGGGATCTAACTGATAGAGAAAGCAAAATAGCCATTATGAAGAAATTCAGGGAGTTACAACAAAACTAAAGGAAATTCAATGAACTTGGGAAAAAATTAATGAACAAAAGGAGTACTTAACCAAAGAGACTGAAGTTCTACAAAAGAACCAAACAGAAATTCTGGAGCTGAAGAACTCAATAAAGGAGAAGAAGAACGCATTAGAAATAGATCAGACCAGAGGGAAGAGACAATAAGCAATCTAGAAGATAGAACCGTAGACATTATTTAGGTGGAAAAGGAGCAAGAACTAAGATTTTTCTTAAAAGATGAAGAAACCCTATGATAGCTATCAGGCTCCATTAGGAGAACCAACATAAAAATAATGGGTATACCAGAACAAGAGAAGGTGGCAGAGAGGTTATTTAAAGAAATTATAGCTGAGAACTTCCCACACCTGGGGAAAGAACTAGACATATAAGTTAACAAAGCTAATAGATTACCTTACTATCTCAATGCAAAAAGATCCTCTCCAAAACACATTATAAGAAGCTGTCAAAAGTCAATGATAAAGAAAGAACCTTAAAGGCATCCAGGAAGAAAAAGAAAGTTACTTACAAAGGCTCTCCCTTTGGACTATCAGGCGATTTCTCAGGAGAGGCTCTACAGACCAGGAGTGAGTGGAATAACACATTCAAAGTATTGAAGAATAAAAATTGCCAGCCAAGAATACACTATCCAGCAAAGTTACCTTTCAGATAGGAAGGAGAAATAAAGGCTTTCCCAGACCACCTGAAAGCTGAGGGAGTTCACCATCACTAGACCTGCCTTACAAGAAATGTTGAAAGGAGCTCTTCCACCTGAAACAAAAGGACAAAAGTATACAAAACTTAGAGTAAGGTGATAGATAAATAGAATAAGGAAATTGTAATTCTATTTTAGAATAGGGTGTTAAACAATTATACCACAAAAGCTTTTTTAAAGATTTTATTTATTCATTTGACAGAGAGAGCACACAAGCAGAAGGAGTGGCAGGCAGAGGGAGAGGGAGAAGCAGACTCCCTGCTTAGCAGAGAGCCCAACGTGGGACTCCATCCCAGGACCCTAGGATCATGACCTGACCCAAAGGCAGATGCTTAACCGACTGAGCCACCCAGGTGCCCCCTATAGCACAAAAATTAAAGGAAAAA